TCACGTGTTGGTCTCCTGCCAGGACTGAAACGGGCTCCCCAGTCTAAGAGTGAGGGTAGGTGATGATGGCACGTCCGAGTGTGAATAGCTTTGCAGTGTCAATGTGTGGATTCAATCAATTATCACAATAACCATAATATCAATTTGCACTTTCTATATGTATGCATGTTTTTGTTGTCACTTTTTTGTATATGCCTATTATCTCTTGTATTGGCGGTTTGATTATTGTTTATGATTTATAATACCATTGGATATCACTTGTGATATGGGATTATTTTGCATTGCCTTTGACCCAATATTTTGTTATTGATGTTTAATGCAAGGCTATTTTGTATTACTTGTAATAAAGCATTTTTAGAAGCGAACCTAAGTGTGCCTGTTTGCTCCTTTGAAAGCCCTATATCCCCCTCACATCATCTTAAAACAATATGTCTGCTATAGCTAGTAGCATTCTAGTTAATTTCAACAGGCATGCTCAGGCAGTGGTATCTTGTGGTTCGTCATATATGGTAACCTTCATTAGTGATAAATCATGCTAGCTACTTTTGTTTTCATTTATAATCATACTAAAGAAAATCAGATATGCCATTTTTTCGTTTTCTGATCTTACCATCAAAACAAAAATGGGTCGTTTCCCAATTTTGGTTTTTCCACTATACAATGAAAATCCATTGGCTGTCAGATAGGCCTACCTGGACCCCTGCAATAGATGGCCCATCCTTGGTTGCTCCCTGCCTTGTGCCCATAGCCTTCCGGATAGGTTCCAGAATCCACCACGATCCTGCATAGGACAAGCGGTTTCAGGACATGGATGGATTGATCAGAAATACTGTGTAGACACTGTTACTGTTGTAAATGACTATCATAGCTGTAAACGGCTGTTTTTAAGGGAATATCTACATAGGTGTACAGAGACACATTATTAGCAACAATTAATCCCGTGTTCCAGTAGAATGTTGTGTTTGCTAATGCAAGTTTATTATTTTAAAATGTTAACTGATCGGTACTGGGCAGTGGTGTCTTAATGATTATGGAAGCTCATTTGTAATTGAAAAATTGCTGGTTTGAATCTCCAACCAGCAAGCTACTGCCCCCAAGCACTGCTCCCTGGGCACTGAATTAGCTGCTATGTCACAATGTTACATATGGGTTAAATGCAGAGGACACATTTTGTTGTTGGGCACTCTGTGCTGTGGTGTGTCAACAATGACCACTGATCTCTAAATTCTAATCATTAGAAAACCCTTTCGCAATTATGTTAGCATAGATGAAAATTGTTGTGATGATTAAAGAAGCAATAAAACTGACCTTCTTTGGACTAAGTAAGTATCTGGAGCAGCAGCAATTGTGGGTTCGATTACAAGCTCAAAACGACCAGAAACAAAGTACTTTCTCCTGAAAATCGTCAGTCTATACTTGTTCTAAGAAATGAAGGTGATTACATGTGAGAAATTGCCAGGAAACTGAAGATCTTGCACAATGCTGTGCACTACTCCCTTCACAGATCAGCACAAACTGGCTCTAACCACAACAGAAAGAGGAGAGGGAGGCCCTGGTCCACAACTGAGTGACGGGATAAATATATTATAGTGTGTAGTTTGAAAAGCAGACGCCTCATAGGTCTTCAACTGGCAGCTTGATTAAAGAGGACCCTCAAAAGACCAGTCTCAACGTCAACAGTGAAGAGGCAACTCCGGGATGCTGGCCTTCTAGCCAGAATTGCGAAGAAAAAGCCGTATCTCAGAATGGCCAATAAAAAGACTGAGGTGGGCAAATGAACATTCTCAAACTGGACAGCAGGAGATTGGAAAAAAGTGCTATGGATAGACAAATCTAAGTTTGAGGTGGATCACAAAGAATGTTTGTGCAGATCAAATGAAAAGGCGCTGGAGGAGAGCTTGGTGACATCTGTCGAGCATGGTGGAGGGAATGTGATGGTCTGGGGCTGCTTTGGTGATGGTGAAGTGGGAGATTTGTACAGGGTAAAGGGGATCTATTCAAACTCATTTCATGTATGCTTTCATAGAAAACAATGGCATTTCTAAGTGACCCCAAACTTTTGAGCGGTGGTGTACATCTCAGCATTACACCTGCTGGTACTGTCGCATTTCCGCATTTGTCATGGAATTGTTTCCACTGGCTTATGCAACATCTCACCCTTTATTTTCATCCACATTTGCATTAATTTCTCACCGAAATCCTGTATTGATAAGTGAGTTGAACCTCCATACAGGCTCCTTCATCACATCCCAAAGACTTTCAATGAGGTTAAGGTCACAACTCTGTGGTGACCAAGTCATGCGTGAAAATGATTCCTCATGCTCCCTGAACCACTGTTTGATAATTCAAACCCAATGAATCTTGGCATTCTTGTCCTGGAATATGCCCATTCCAACAGGGAAGAAAAAAATTCATTGATGATGGATGGAGGTGTAATCTTGTCATTCAGTAGATTCAGGTACTCAGCTGACTTTACTTTATTGCTGCGTAATGTTGCTGGGCTGTAATAATGATCCAGTCATTGGCTCTTAAGTATTTGCTGATATAAATTCAAATGGCGACTTTTTTTTGGCCAGGCAGCGTATAATCCCTTTTGTACCTACCTGGTATTTGATGTATCTAGTATTTTTTTAATTACCGGTACAACAAGCAAAGAAGAAAAAATTAAGAAGTGACAATAGCCATGAAGGAATCAAAGGTGCACATACAGGTTTATTGAATTTCATGTCACAGTTCTGGTATGCCAGAAACGCAAAAGGATTCTGCTGTTGACAGATTTGAATTATAGATGCAAATGTTAAAAAAAAAAAAAACTGAAAGAATGTGTTGAAGTGTAATCATGCTGTGAGAAATTAGGTTGTGAACAGTCGTACAGCCCTGCCCTGCTTCAATAATAAGAAGTTTCAGAGAGCTTCCGGCATAATCATACAAAGAAGAAATGTACACCACAATTTTTCTTGATATCAATATTTAAAACCAACACTTAAATAAAACATTAAGTGTTAAAATGCAAAACAAATTAGTAATATATAAACAATAATACTAAAAGTAGAAATATATATTAATGTTCATCATTTAAACTTAAGGAAAGTCGGTCACGGTCACCAGTCTAAATATTTCAAGAAAATGTCTCCATCTAGTGGTATCGAGAAAGTCACCGCATAACTCTGATTTTTCAGTTTCTCTCGAATGCTTTGGCACATTTCTCAAATGACAATTAACATTTGCCAAACAAGAACTTAATTTCTCATTGTTTAACACAAATTTCCAAATGTTTCAGCACATGTATGCAGGCGGTCTTATACAATTGTCTTAATTCGGCATACCTTTCACTTTCTTAAGTCTTATTGGTCAAATGTATTATGTAGTTTCCCAGGGTATTAATTTTACACCAAAAACTATATATTTAAGTGATCCGGGTGTTAGCCACCACATGCAAAAGAGTTCAAACTTTCAAAATGATTCAAGAATATATTCCATAAATTGCAGTGATCTGTTTTTTGATTCTCACAGTACACGATTTTGTTGATGCACCCTTCCCCCGATCGGTGAATTTTACCGACAGCACTCCTGCCCACCCTGATTAGTAAGTTTTACCGCTGGCACCCACGCTTTGATTACGATGATCATGTTTCTCTTTCGGCTCTCAAAAACAGCTCAAATGGCCCACTTAGGGGGCTTCTACCCATGTCACCCCCGAGCCCTTAGAGAAATTAGTCCGCCCCTGGTATACAACATTCACATTTGCAGGAACATTCACTTAATGCTTTGCTGCCTTTTTAGTTAATACTTGCAAACATACAGTGCAAACAAATGTTTAAATGATCATGTTGGTTTAAAACTATAATTTTACGTCTGTCAAAGTGTCAGATTAATCGTTTCAAAACCTCTCCTAAAGTCACTTAATTTGCGACAAGCATCCAATACGCCCATTCATATCAGCATTTTTTGATTAGATCAGTCAGTACGTTTGCATGCACAATAAGAAACCTTTCCACCGCACCAGATCATAGCTGTCAAGTCTCCCGTTTTGGCCGGGAAGAACTGCCACCTGCAGTAGTCTGCAGGTCATTTACAACATTAACCAGGTCATAAATGCGTAAAAATGGCAATGCTGTGTGCCAAAAACAAAATTACTTTTCACTTTTGTAACGACTTCAACAAGGATACAAAGTCTGCAACAAATCTGTATAATAAGTCATTATAGTGAATGCCAGAGAGCCACATGAGTGAACATGAGAAATTAAAAGAAAATGTGTAATGAAAATAAAATGTAAATGACAAGTGGTTATTTTAGATTTCTTGTGCACCTGTCTTAAAATGTAAGGGATACTGGAGCTTGGTTGGGGTGGTGGGATGGCTCGCGGTGGGTGCCGGAAAATTTCCCTTATTTTCAAATCCAAAACTTGACAGGTATGCACCAGACACCGTACTTTTGGTACTTCAAGAAGGTACCAAAAGTACGGAACTTCAATATGTTGGTTTTCCATGGTATATTATACAAAATAATTTCTTGTTATGCTATCCTGATCTTGTATCTGTTCTTCAGACCAGATCGCAATTAAAGCTTGCGTCACTTCATTTGTCCATCCATTACTAATATTTTTTACGTATGTGACGTAATAGGTCAACCCCCAGTACTAACAAGCTGAATGGAGCCATATCGCCACCTATTGTAACAGAGTCGGACATAATTCGTTCAATAAATCGATTCTCCTCGCGTGCATGTATACCGGGACAAGGACAGTAGTCCGATTAAATGGCATTATCAAGCTATAACCGTAGCCTGACTTAGCAGTGCATGTAAAGGTACTGACTAGCATACCATGTTTTGCTAATCGATACCTCATCAAATTATTTAAATAATTAAATTGATCAATTGAGCTATTAGTGAAATCAAAAAATACTTGAAATTGCTGACGTGCCACTGATGATTGATTTGGGAACCAAAGCAGTGTTCTCCTAGCCATCCAGCAAGATATCGGCAATGTTTTGCAGAATACATTCTTGTTAGTTTTATTGTCTTACTGTTAATTTGTATATGTTTTAATGGTGAATTGTGCTTCTTTCTGAGCAAATATATGCATGCACTTACTACCCAGATAAATTGCTTTACACATTTTCTTTGACTGCCTAAGACTTTCACACAGTACTGAATATTAAAATATTATATATTGTTTTAAATTTGAATGAAACTAAAATTGCTGTAGTTTTTAGTGGTTCTGTTTGTGTTAAAAATAAACTTTACCTTGTTGTAAACCATTTGTCTTTAGCATGTTGTGCTTAATTGTACATTCTCTTGCATGATTTATTCAACAAAATAAGCTTTGTAATAAAAATAACCTGACAAAATCAAATTACAGTTTAAAAAAGGAGAAATTCACAGTAATTTGAAAAAATTATATACATGAAATGAAAACCAGTACAGCAGGTATACATAAAGTGACATTTTCATACACAAAGAGATTTATATGCAAAAAATGGGTTTATATGCTGTTCACATCAGTCACAAGTGATGGCAACAAACTTTATGATATAGAGAATAGCCCTTTCCGCACTCTCATTCAGTCTTTTGGTCACCTACCTCTGTGTTCATAATAATGGTCAATCATACTATTTTATTAGATAGCTCATATGCCTTTCATGACGAGACATACCACTATATTGGGAAATTGTTTTTTTTTCTGCCTAAGATTTTAGGTTCAAAATGTGCAAACAGGTGCTGACTGCAGTTTTAACTTTTATTTTATAGATGCTGATTCTATGTTTGTAGATAGATCTTATCATACTACAATTCATGTGATTAAAATGTGATATGCATGCATCTGATGTTTCAAGATTGCAGGGTGTTGCACGATAATCAGAGTGCCATGTACAAACTAGCAGTTTTTAAACCGCTCCTCGCGATCAAACAAACTTTTACAACATTTGTGTTCCTCTTGACTGCACGGTCTCCAGTCAGAGGTACACTCACAGTCGTCGGGATTGTACAGTGTCTGGGTGTATCTACGGGTCAGTGCTGCTGGAGGCCTCTCACCCCGGGGTCTACACAGCCAGGTCATCATTCCGCGCCCGGCTGCTGCAGCCGCTGGTCTTGCTGGAGCGGCGTTTGTCCTTGAAGAAGCTGTGGGAGGGCAGTTCGGGAGGACCACAGCCATTGGACACCTCCCCGCCCTGTGAATAGTTCATCCGCAAGAAGTCTTCTACCTCCAGGTTGTCGTGGCTTTGGTGGCGCTCCGTGGCCAGGTTGGCTGAGTTCTGCTGGTGGGCCATCCTATCATTGAATATCTGGCAGCTAGTAGCATGTGGCCTAGCCGCCACTAGGCACTGATTGAAGTCCGGCGGAGGAGTGCAAGGGATGGACGGGTGGGCCGGGCCTTTGGGCTCAGGGGCCACAGTCACTATGGCGCTGGGCTGGCGGTTGAGGGTCCTGGAGGTGGTGCAGACCTTGAGGCAGCGCTTGGACTGCTTCCAGGCCAGGTGGTACAGCTCCAACATGCTAAGTAAGAGCGAGACGCTCGCCACCACCAGCATGAAGCCAATGAATATGTTCTTCTCTGTTGGCCGTGACATGTAGCAGTTGACTGGGTTGGGGCAGGGCCATGTGTCACACTTATAGAGGACGTTGAGGAAAATGCCATAGATCATGTATTGTCCCACTATAAAGGTGACCTCCATGACTGTACGGATCAGAATGCTCAATACGTAGGTCTTGAGCAGCGCCCCCTTCAGGTGAATTCTTGCCATTCCCTCCGCCTTCCCGGACTCCTTTTCCTCGGGATACACCTTGTCCCCACTCCCGCCGCCCCCGCCGCGGTCCTCCTCCTCCCGCTGCCGCCGCTTTTCCTCCATGCGCACCGTGTGCATGGCATGTCCCATGTAGATGAGGGAGGGGGTTGAAACAAAAACAATCTGCAGCACCCAGAAGCGGATGTGGGCGATGGGGAAGGCGGCGTCGTAGCACACGTTGACACAGCCCGGCTGCTCCGAGTCGCACATGAAGTCTGACTGCTCATCGCCCCAGGAGGACTCGGCCGCTGTGCCCAGCACCAGGATGCGGAAGATGAAGAGAACGGTCAGCCACACTTTGCCTACAGTCGTCGAGTGCTCCTGTACTTCTTCGAGGAAGTTTCCCAGGAGACTCCAATCACCCATCACAGCTTACAACTCCTTCTGATGGTGCCTGGGTGAGAGGGGAGACGGAGGAGAAATTAAGTAAAAAAAATCATAGAGGAGACAACAGCCATCCAATGCTCTTTGATTCATAGGATAGACTCCATTGAAATGGAGATGTTTGTTGGAGGTGTTGTAGCAACAAATACCAGTCACACATTTTCAGAGACAATACTTGTACAATAAATCTGTTCACACTAATCATCCACTGTACCTACAAACTGGAATCTGAGTATGCTTTATATATGTTGCATATGTTGTATATACCATATGTTCACTGACCTCATCTATATACAGTAATCAACATCTTTGCACTCTGCACCATTGCACTATGGTCCTTTGGCTCAAGTCCTTACTTGTACCTGCTGTACTTCATTGATGTGTATCCATAACTGTACATATGCTATAAATGGTTTTTGCTGTGTCTGTTCTGTGCACGTACAGTATATTGAGAGCAAGGGAAAAAATGGATTCCTTGTATGTGAAAACATACTTATAAAGCTGATTCTGATTCTGAAGGATGGATACTGCTGTATTTTTGCTTTGGGATTGCTGTAAGAATGTATAATTTTTAAACTAATTAATTAATTTTAAAAAACATATTTGCCATCTTTACAAAACTGACCAAAAGGGTATGAACACCCCCATTGGCTAAAAAAGCAGTCTGATCCCTTTCAGAAATGAACGTTTATTTGCTGCCCTATTTATTTGTATGTCAGTTCATATTAATCCCTGATAGCAGCAATGATGCTTTTTCTTTTAGGCATCTCTAAAGACAGCTGTCTGGGGAGCTTCCTGCTCTTCACAGAGTCACTTCTGCAGAGGGGGCAGCAGGCATGTGAAGTACCAGTATAAATAGACCCTCTCCCAGAGGGGCCACTGCAGACTGGTCACTCCAGTGCTCTGGTCACCCCAGCCTGAGAAGGAGAACTCTTCCCACAGCAACTGCTGCTGAAGCTTTGGGAAAAGCAAGCATCTGGTCCTGGGGCAGTTTAAAAATATACTAAGAGACAAATAGGTCTTCGTTATAATCATTGGTATTTTTTAGGGGCAGACCTACAGTCTGTGTATGATGCGGATTCCTAAACCCCATTTAGATCAGTGAGCAGCTGTCCTGATTGAGATCATGGTTTGTACAACTTGTGGTCTTTCCCCATTTACCACCTGCTGTCTGAATGGATTTGACTGCGATTAACTACTTTTACCAGTTTCAGTCTTTCATGCAGACATTAAATATTCAATTCAATATGTATAAGTGTTTGGATTCATAGTATTGTGATGAAAAGAGAAATTGTTACTTAAGATAGAGCCATTATGTTTTTTCCTACAGGATTTAGCTGAACAAACCAGCAGAGTCCCTATTATATTAACCTTGGGCCTGTCCCTCTATATCCTCGTCATACCGGACATGCGGTGACACAGTCCCCGGAACACCACAACCCCTGGTTTCACGGTAAATTCGGAAAGAGGCCGGTTAGTGTTCCTGGAAAGGCAGGCACTGTCTGGACCCTTTGGGAAGCTGACAGCACTGTCGCAGAGTCACTGGCTTCTGATCGCCAAGCCCATCAGTCTGAGTTTGTTTATAGGTATTTAAGTATATAAATTGAACTGAATCCTTATTCTACTCAACCTATTATTTAATGTCCAAAGGTAATTTTTACTGGAATGCAGCCATTTTTGGCACCTTATCTCAAGGCCTGGCTAGGCTTCTAAAATAATACAGAAAACGAAAAATGCGCACGTATTGTTTACAGTGTGATACATTTTTAAATGATAAGAAATTATTTCTCTTCAAAGACTACTCAGAAAAACAGAAAATCTTTGAAACATATTGTTTTCTTGTTACTAAATTATCTTTTATATTTTAGAGTTTGTCAGAAATGTCAGTATTACTGATTTATTTATTTGCATGCAAATAAAAAAGGTTTCATAAGTGCAGAGACTAATAGGGTACAGTGTACACGGCAGTATTGGATTTGGTATAATTTGTTATACATGTGCAGAAATATTTAAATAAACATAAAGGAGAAGTAAAATTGTGAATCGTACACACAATGCAGTGTCTGAATTACTGAGTAAAGCTTGTAAGTCTGTAATACAATGAAAGGATTTCTTACCACCCCAGGTAGTGAAGCACCATCAGAATAAGTCAGATAACCGTAAGTTTCCAGGCAGCTACATTTTCCCTCCAAAACTAGGCAGGATTCTGAGGGTTTGGCTGCTACAGTTTCATCGGCATGTCACGCGACAGACAGGGATGAAGACTCTTACGCTCCTGGCTTGGTGGACTATGTGCATGTAGTGAGGGTGTTTTTTTGGGTGGGGGTGGAGCAGAGGATAGCAAGATGCCCGGCATGAATACAAGCATTGGAAATGTCTGCAATAGCCAGCTGTTCAAAGCTGTATTGTCCGTATATCCTCTGCATACCTAACAAGAAATTCAGGCTTGTTCACTTGTTATATTAGGCTGTGACCACTTGTCATTTCGTAACATAATCACTCAATTTCCAAGAGGAAATGACATGTGACACGGGAGGAGAGGATGTAAACAAATGTCCATCTATTTTAAGGTTGCTGTTTTTAGTGGTGTCTGAAGTTTTTTTTCTTCATCAAGGAAGTAATCTCCAACAATATCATTTCCTGTTGCCTTTTTAAGAAATCAGCCTCTTTAACAAAGAAGAGGAAGGAGGGTGTGGCTTACTGTCCGGTTGAAAGTTCAACATTAATGAAAATAATAAAACAAAGTACCATTTAAACTTTGACTAAAAAAGCTGTCAATAAAAGATGATTTGAATTTGATTCTGATACCGTTTAAAAGCAAACAGAAGATTGAAACCAATATAAAAGGAAAGAGAATGGAGACAGAAGTGTTCATAGGATAGAAATGACTGCGTGATGGTTTTAGTAGCTGAGGCAGCTAAGCTTAGCAGGCCTTTCCGAGACCTGAGAGTGATGCGGTTAGCAGGCCTTTCCGAGACCTGAGAGTGATGCGGTTAGCAGGCCTTTCCGAGACCTGAGAGTGATGCGGTTAGCAGGCCTTTCCGAGACCTGAGAGTGATGCGGTTAGCAGGCCTTTCCGAGACCTGCTGCATGTCACCTGAGAGTGATGCGGCTTTGACTTTCTCAGAGGAAATAGTCGTGACTAAATGCTCTCAGGATAGGGGCGAAACAATGACCTGAGTGGTATGCGATGCCAATCATCAATGGAAAGTGCCAGAAAATATTTCCCTGGACACGTAGTGTAATGAATCACAGGAGCAGAAAACAGTCCACAGATGGCGCCGTCCTGGCTTGTCTGAGACGAAAACAACTCTTCGGGAATGAAGTAATAAAAATTAGAGGTGTGGTGAAATTATTCACTATTAATGTTTAAGGACAATGAATGGAATCGGAAAAATGTTTCTCTGGTCGCAATGCAGACACACTTAGCTTGCCCACCACCCCCCCCCCCCCCCCCCTTTCCTTTTACCGCTCAGTTGCTCGTTCTGCTTCAGGCAGGACAGGGAACCAGCAGGGGGCGAGATTGCCCTGCTCCTCTCGCTGTGCTGTGTATGAGCTGTTGACGCATTTTCACACCTGTTAAAATTATTGGATTAACTGATTTAATATATTTAACTGAATACGCATATTATTTTAGATTTTTTTTTTCTAATTTCGATTTAGCAAATTCGCTAATTGACTTTATGGCTTAGCGCACCCCCTTCCCCTCCCTCTGCTGCCACCCGCTGAGGGTCGCCAGCATGAGATGTCAGGCATTTCGCCAGTATGGCGGTGCCCCCCCCCCTCGCTCTGCCGGCTGTTGCTCTGGCCGCACCATAAGTGGCTCTCCTCACCGAGGCACATTCGGCAAGCCTCCCTTCATCCATAAATATTTAGAAAGCGCACTCATTCGTTCCGAGTGCCAGGATAGCGTGGTTCCCGTTCAAGTATTTACAGGAAGGGTGCGTGAGCAGCGATCTCGCTTCAGGCCCGAGGCCCTGGGGTGGGGCAGAGCAGACTCAGGCTTGCGTTTCCATGGCGACCCGGGTCGTGTGTCCCTGGAGTGATATAAGCCACCTCTTTGGAAACCAAATTGCTGCCTGGTGTTAAAGGTCAGCTTTGGTGTCTTAAAATCCCAAATATTCTTAGACAGGGAAACTGAGAAACGCATTAAAAGAGCCGATATGACAGAGGTAAACTGAAAAGAGAGCAAAACGATGTTTTAGTATTTTTCATGTATATAACTTGACAGGAAAGACCGTTATTCGCCCCATGGGCAGGTCAACAGAAACCAAATAACGAACAATATAGCTTCCTGTTCCGACATATACAAAAAAAACATAGATCGGACATTTAATTTGTTCTCCATAAATGCATCTCTTTATTTAACAGGTAACTGCTCAAGAACATGTTATTTTTCTAGAAATTTTACATTTAAAACAGATTTCTTTGATGCCAAAGAAGCCTCACCCTCATTAATGCAAACTCGGGCCAGTGACATTCAGACATTGAGTTGCTGTGGTAACTTTGTTCCATGGCTGTCTTAATGAAGATGTTGAGATGTGGAAGTAACCCTAAAGGACTGGTTCACCCAGAGTTTATTTCAGACGCTGAACACCGAAAAACAAACAAAGTGCACCTAAGGACTCTTATAGTAAAATTCACTCCCTCTAGATTTAAACACTCAACAGTCATTGACATTGTCAGAACACGAGCTCTAAAGACATGCCTGTGAAAAACACCTACAAACATGCAGTCCTTCATGACTTGAGCTATGTCCTCACTCAAGACTCAGCCCAGCGCGCCCTTTTCGCATCCATCTCATCATTTTTCATGACCCCGTGATGTGCGGGACATGCAGGTACCTGCACGTACCACACACAAACATGCATCCCAAACCCGAGTCCCGGACAAGCTCCTTGACCAACATCTCAGAGTCGACCACAGAAACCTTAGACGATTCGGAATTTCTAACGAGCAAACCGAGATGCAGAGAGAGAAACCCCGGTGTCACAGCACAGCCGGAAGGCGCCGTTGAGCGGCTCGACAGAGAAACAACACGCGAAAGAATCAGAGGGTTCGCTGTATTTCCTGTGACAACTCTCCCTCAAGGGAACGCTCGTAATTACCTGCTGGGCTGCGGCTTGCTTGGTGGTGATGCTGCGGGCTGCCTCGTCTCAGAGATTTCCCTTTCAAGGGAGAGTCCAGGGAGAACTCCCCAGTGGAGGACGGCGCGGTGCTGGAGGAGCGCTGAGGAGCTCGCCGGGGGGCTGACGAACAGAAGCAGCTGCCCACGGCCGACTGTTATTTACAGCAGCACTCGGCTTTCCGGGGATATAGATGCAATCTTACGCCGGGGGCATTGTAAGAAATGTCGGGCATTGCTGGAGCACTTCCTCTCTCAACCCCCTGCCCCCCCCACCCCCCATGCCACCCCTCCTGTCATTCTCTCAGTTCTCCTCCTCCGCTCCTTGTTGTCGTCTCCTGGCGTCTCCTCCTGTTTCCACCCACCCTTCGGGCGCGTTTCAGTCCCGGGTCCTGCACTCCCAACAGAAGAATACCTGCGAGGCACCAGAGGAAGCGAGATTGTATTAGAAAACAATGCAGAAACTCGGGCCCTCAGCTGGGCCATTAAGCCTCCAGCTGCTATTTCATTTCTTGCTATTTTTTTCTTATTATTAAATTATATTTTGTAGCGTGACCTCCAGATGGGGAATAAACAATGGTTGTGTGTGTGTGTGTATGTATATGTGTATATATGTATATATATGTGTGGTCCAGGTATATCTTACCTTGTGGGGACCAGTTTCCTGGTCCCCATATGGGAAAACTCTATTTTATAAAAATCCGTGACTGCAATGAAAAAACTAAAAATGCCATAACTCTTGTATTTTGCTTGGTTACTTATGGTTATGGTTCGGGATGGGCAGGGGTTAAGGTTGTCATAGTTAGCATTAGCATTTTTCCCATAGACACCCACAGATTAGATATCTAAACCTTTGTGGGGACTCTCCATTCATTTCTATGGGCAAAACCCTAATCTTACCAATGATAGCCTTAACCCCTACCCAGCCCTAACCTTAACCATAAGTAACCAAGCAAATTACAAGACTTTGGGCATTTATAGTTTTTTTGATTGCATTCATAGATTTTTGTAAAATTGAATTTCCCCTTTTGAGGACCGAAAAGGTGGTCCCCACAAGGTCAAAATAATAGATTGTGGGGACACTGGAAAATATGTACATGACCACATACAGACCCACACACACTCACATCTTATTTAAAACACCCCTTCTCCTTGCATTATTAGATTATTACTGGATTGTTTATGTTTAGGACACATGAGTGAGAGGTGAGGGGGTGAGTTTCCCATATAAACACAGGGATTTTTGTTGCTGTGTTACCATCACTATTTGAAAGTTAGAATAAAACTTTCAATTCAATGCTCATTTGCATTGCATGTGGCTCACTAAGCCAAACAAACACACCTTCCCATGGGTGACAACACAACAGCTTTCTGACCTGAGGTCTCAGAAGATAAACCCAGGAATGAGTTTATCTTCTACTTGTTCTGTGCGAATGGCAAACAATTCTAAAAGCTGAAGGACTAACGCAGTTTAATAAGACAGATCAAGAATCATGAAGCTTCTATATATTATTTTTTTAATGTCGCTATCGTTCTCCATCTGTGCTCAGGGCCTTGAATTATGGAAGCAGCTGCAACCAGATTGCAGTAAAAGTGTCCACTTCAGATGACATTCATTCATTTTCATAACTTATGCAGAACAGCCAATCATCGTGAGCTCTTGTGATATTGCATCCGAGTTTGCAGAGGAGTGCAAGACTGGACATGTATTTTGCAAAATGTATCTCCTCTGCTATCTATCAATACCAAACTCAGTAAATAATAATTCATTAATATCACTGAAGGACAAGGACAGGCTTAACCTTCAAACGGACACCTATAAAACATGCCTGCAATGCATCTGCCAGGGCACTGGGTCTCACCCACGAGGCTTCGGCTCTCTGTGTGTGTACGTTTCTATATCCCTTGCTTGTTTGTGCAGGTTTCTGTCCAGAGCTCATAGACATATTGCCCATAGTATTTGAGTAATAGACTTGTATCCCATCCAAGGGGTCTTGCACCCTATGCTTCTAGGGATAGACTCTAAGCTTACTGTGCCCTTACACTGATATAAAACAAACTGTCGCATGGATGCATACGTGATCCTCAGCAGGTGAAATCAGTGCAGGTCTCCTTTATGCCTTGATTCTTTATTCTATTTCTTTATAACAGTGTTGGTAACACTCTACTTGCACAAATAATATACTATAGAGTAGTATATAGTATACAAATAATATAGCACCACAAACTAATGAATTGTGGCCCATGTTTTTCTCAAGCGGTTATTACACTTGTTACTATATCTGTTAATTCTGTAAATCATGGTGAACTACTGAAGGAACTACTGAAGGAATAAGTAATGGATAACAAGTGAAATACTGATCTCACTGGCTTCATGTTTGTTCATCACTAATGAATCGTGAAGCATCTTTTATCTCAAGTAGAATGAACTATAGCTGTTCATAATTTGTCCATAATTTGGACATCAGTAATAACTGAGTCATTAGTATTTGTGCCCCGTCAAGTGCAATCGAAGTGTTTTTCTACATAAATGCATTGTGTTTTATAGAGCCTGTTCACAATGCTTGTACTTTTTAATTCAAAGAGGGCTGAGTTCACTCCCTTCACTAAAGAGCCTGAAAGACAATTGCTGGAATTTCTTACAAAGATGGCTGATAGAATCCCTGAAGGTGCTGGGGACACTATGCAGAAGTGACTGGAAGCCAGCCTGGAACTTGCTGAGCGGGACAGACAGAGGGTGGCTGTCACAGGCCAGGCTTCCTGTTCCCATGCACTCCTCCCTCCTTCCATACCGCAGGGGAGGGTCTGCCAGGATGGGGCCGGTTAGCGGCACACAGGGTTACAAGCTGGCCGATAGCCTTGGCGCTCAGGTCGTGGTACGAAAGGAAAAGGTGGTCACATGAACCAGGGTTTTGTCGGGTGCTGCGCACTGGTGTTAATGATGAATCAGTCACAGTCGCGCCTGAGAGTGAGAACGTTTATCAGCTTTGGTCTGATAAATAAGCCTGGTATTATTCTGATTCCGGACACCACCTGGTTGCTTTTTTGTCTCCCTGGCAGGCGAAATGCTTTTAGTCCCGGATTTCTGGTCATAAAACTCACTGTATAAACATGTCCGCCTTCTAACGGCCTGGTCACTATTCGGTTAGACCGACAAAAATGCCCCCCCCCCAACCGCCCCATCCTCTTTAAACAGGGAAGGGGTGAGAGAGATGGGTGGCGTACTGGGACATGTGTGACTAGAAGCTGCCCCACTTCTCACCTCTTCCACTCCCGACACCTTCCTTATCTTCTCGTTCCAGCGTTGGTCATGAGAATGATGATTAAATACCTTCCTTAAATACCGTTAATACAGAGCTGGTCCCCTTTCAAATTCATCTGAGGTGGCAGGTGAATCAGAACCAGATTGAAAATTTGCATATTTGTGTTACCTGTATAGTGTCCTTGTGCTTTAAGGAGACACCTGAATCTGATTTCTTTGTTCCAATACCCTCCTCTAATCGCTATGTTTGCATCACCATCTTTTGACCAAGTACTTCTGAAAATACAAATGAGTTTAGATTAAAGGCAGCAAACTCAAAGCCCAATATTAAATCATGTATGATTGATGCTTTCTATTTTTATTTTTTAATATGATTTTTAGTACGAAACTTTAAAACATTTTAATATGAATTAACATTAGTCTTCACACAGGCCTGTTTTAAAAAATGAAGGTGTCAAATAAAAAATATTAAGTAATATAAACTGGGTCTAATCAAACTTAGACAGGCGTTCAGTATTGTTGCTGGCAATTTGTCAAACATATGGTCGTGAGTCCTTTCTAGTAATATAGAGCCAAATTTCCCTATAAATTGTCCATGGACATTCTGAAAAAGGTAAAAATGACAGTCTTCCTTCTTTATCTTCCTTTTCTCAGTGTGCCACGCTGTCACTTTGTCCTTTTTGACTCTGCAAACTCACAGGAACTAAAAGCTGCTTTTCACCGATTAGCATTCACCTCAGCAAAAGCGTTTGCTTGATCTGAAAAACAATTCTGGATTTTCTGGCATGTGGTGGTTGTTGGGATCCGTCATAATTGAACAAAAGAGAAAATGTGTCTGTCACAAAGCCCCCTCAGCTACAGATTCTGGCCGCAACTTGTGAAACACGCCATCGGAGGAGTGTTTAAGCGATGCATGCGTGAGTCGTCTCCAGCTTAAGACGTGGGCTCTCTCATGATTTCTGTGTTTATTTGAAGAACCACTCAAGGTCATTGTTGTCCCATTGAAGATCATTATCGGCGCCCTTTGCAGTGAAACCTGAGATACACTGCAGTGTCGCTTCAGGTGGATCCAGCCACAGCTGATGAAATCCTGCAGAAACTTCCGTCGCTCTGCTCACCCTGACATCCACATAATGAACTATGGTCCTCTGACACCGCCAAGCTCCCACCTTCATATATACAGAATAAGGTCTGATGTCTGCTCCTTCACATGCACACACTCTTTGCAACAATGTGACAGTATCATGCAATATTAATATCCATGTAAACAGAGAGAGACAAAAAGACAGAAATACACAGAGATTTCTTATCAGATTTTGTTGCCTTTCCAAGTCTTCCGTTCATCATGGGGCTGCTGTTCTTATTCCCGATGGATATATGGGACATTTGTTAAACTCTGCTATACAGGGAATAAGAATGAATAGCTATTGTTCTGGATGTTTCATTTCAACAGAATGAAAAATAGTCTCCATGTTGAGAAGGTGCTGGTTTCTAAGACGTATAGATAGATAGATGCAACAGCATAGGAGAGAGTTTGATATTGAGGGACACAATAATTTACTTTTTTAATAATTTACTACGAAGGTCTATTTATTGAGTGGGGTGAATGAATCCAAATTAAATATTAAGGGCTACACATTGTCCCTGGTTCCTAAGCCTGTACTGTTCTGGAAATGAACAGTACTGCATATCTATATAACATTTTTATTGGCCCTGCAGCTGAATTCTTTATATTTCCAACATTAGACTCCTGTATTTATAGATATATAGAGGCTCTAACATGATCACAGCTTAATCAGTCAGCATTAGGTGTGTGTGTGCGTGTGTGTGTGCGCGCGTGTGTTTTGGCCGGCTGCCTGCACTGCACAGGCAGAGCGATAGATGCAGCAGTGTCCTTCACAATTCATCACGCCCTATTTTTAACAGGGAGGCCGTGCAAGTACAGCATCAGAGTGTGACGGCGACACCTCAGAGGTGCAGGTTACATACCGACAAT